TTTTAATTTATTAGATACTTGATTTTCAAACATATCTTTGATAATATCAAGTATCTTAATGAAATATACGTAGTGGGTGACATTTCTTGTGAAATAGTAACATTGATCTTTTATAGTTCCATCAAAATCAATTGAAAAAACAAAACCATTATAAAGAGTGGTATTTTCATTAACAATTGCCATTTTATACTCTAAAAATGATTTTATACCTGTTTTAGTAATAACAAAATAGATTCTACATGGAATGTTACTAAGATTAAAGATATAAAACAGTTGAACATTAGAACTTAAAATAATTGAATCACTTTCAGTGGTTGTAGCACATTTAAACAAACTAAAATTTACAGAATTGATTGAATCTCTTTCTTCTATGATCTTTTTTCTTGTTTCAAATTCATTTGCTGCTTCATAGATTGGAACATTTCTGGGTTTATTAAGTGTTTGAAATATCTCAATAAAAGAGTGGATTATAAGTAATGGAAAGATAGTTGTATCTACTTTTGATTTTTTCTTTGTTAAATCAACTTCTTCAAAACTAGCAGTGTCCCAAGAATCGGAATTTTCATCTATGTCGTTCATAAAATTTATATTTTTTGTTTACTAAAAAATTTACAAAAAAATTAATTGATTTTTTAATAATCCTTTCTGATTTTAAATTTTATTGTTAGTAAAAATTTTTTGTTGTTTAGATATATTTAGAATTTTTTTGTTTGAATATAAAAAATTAATCTTACTTTTATATAATATCAGTAATAATTTACTTTTTTGATAAAAATTTATTCTAAAAAACATAATATCTAATTATTATTAAAACATCATTTTTTTATTGTAAAATACTTTATTAAGTATACTTTTATACAAATATTCATTTATAAAAAATTATTAGTTAAATATTAATAAGTAAAAGACTTGAAAATTTTCATTTAAGATTAAAAAGGTTTTTAAAGAAAAACTAATGATTAAAAAATTAATCAAACATAAGAATCGAACCTAAAAGTTTGATATACACTAATTAAGTGTTGTGTCAAGCTTTTATATAAAATTAATTTTTAAAAAAAATATAAATAGAACAGCTAAATTTATTGATTCAAATAAGTGAAAATTATAAGTTTGAAGTTAATTAATTTTAATAAATAATTAAATTTTAAATCAAATTTATAGTTTATACAAAAATTAAATAACAAATATTCAAGTGAGATTTTTTTACATAATAACAATCCAAATCTTTATTAATATTAATTTATAATTAAGTATTAGACTAAGTTTATTATTCATAAGGTTTATATTTAGAAATAAAAATATAATCTTTAATTTTTTTAAATAATAATTAGTTATTTAAACAAAAAGATTAATTTTTTTGTTGTTAATAATCAATCAATAACTATAAACACCAAAGGAAATACTTTTATGAAGTGTTTAAAAATTTAAAGAACGTTTTTAATATTTTTCTCAAAAATATTTTAAAATAACAATTTTATATTTTATAGATAATAAAAATATTAAAAGAATTAAATTCATTTAAACAATTTTAACTAGTTTTTAACTTATAAATATTTGAATTATTTGATTAAAATATTTATAGAAACTTAAGATATACAATAAAAAAACTTTTTTCTGTAATTAATAAAATGATAATAACAATTAAAAAAAATTTTTAATAATTTAACCAGAAGAATATAAAATTAAATTTGTTTAAGTTTTAAAATACTTATTGAAAACAAAAATGAAATTTTTATTGTTTAAACAAAGGATTTATTAAATATTTGACTAAAAATATTTTCTCAGCAAAGAAAAACACTAAAGGCTTTATTTATAAACTTTTAAAGCATTTTGTTTCTAATACAAATTGAAAAAACATATAATTATAATGTTAATCTCTATTTATATACTAATAATATAATATTAAGTAAGATACAATATAAAAATTTTTAGAAATTTTAACTAAACTTTTTGGAAAAAATACTTTTTAAAATAATTGGTTTTATAATAAAATCTAGAATTTAATACTCAATAACTTAGATATTAATTCAATCTTTTATACAATTTATAAATAATTTATTTTTTTTACATATAATAATCGTTTATAAAAAAATACCTAAATTTATTTTTTATTCTATTTAATAGATGAAAACAAATACTTACTAAATAATCAATATCTTATTTTTATAACAAACTAAACATTCTTTAATTTAAATAAAATTAAAATATTTAGGTGTGAATAGATCAAAAATTTTTCATTTAAATTATATTTTATAATAATTCTATGTATATATAAGTTTTTACTTATCACAAAAATTTTAACAAATTAAATTATAAGAGAAGGTGAGTTATTCTGAGAATAATTAAAAAGGAACAAATATAAAAATAAAAGTGTAATATTAAAGTTAAAAAACAAGTAGGAAAACTAAAAATGAATAAAAGTTTTAATTAGTTAATAATAACTATTAATCTAAATAGTAATTTGTATAAATATATAAAAGAAATATAATTACTCTAAACCCAACCATTGTTATATCAAAAAATAATAATAATAATTTTATTAAACTATTACGATCAAATATTTTAAATTTAGAACTTTATAATTAGAATTTAAAAAGAGTTAGTTAAAAATTTTATAACTAATTCTTTTTAAAATATAAATGATATTTTAGTAACATTAACGTATTAATTTTGTTATAACATTTGAAATAATTTTTACTTTTTAATTGTAATAATTAATTTAACTAAGAATAATCAAATAAAACTTACATGAAATAACTATCTATTTTAGTTGTTTTTTATTACAAAATAACTAATTATTTTTACTATTTTATAATCAAATTAAAAACTTATTGTAAAATATAATCTTTTTAAAATTATACTTTAAACAAGTAAATATTGTTGTTTTATATAATTATAAGATAAAAAAATATTTTTACTAAAATGTAATTTTAAAAAAGATTGTTAATATTATTTAAATCAAAAACATTGTATAAAATAGATTGAATCTTTTAAAAAACAAATTAAAATATTCTGTTTTTTATTCACAAGAATACTTTCTATTTAACTTTTAAAGATTTGTTTCTCTTTTTTATAAAATTTAATTCATTTATATTTTTTATATTATTTTATTTTATTTAAATTTTCATAGAACTTTTATTAAAACT